AATTAATGGATTAAATAACTTAATCCAACCCCTTTTCATTCTTCTTCAACAACTGTCACAGGTTACACAGGTCTGGTACCCAAACTATGGCGCAAAATAATGTAACTGTAGGCTCCCTGTCAATTCTTCTGTGGAATGCCAACGGTCTGACACAGCACAGTTCTGAACTCGACCTTTTCTTGCACGAAAAACGGATCGACGTAGCACTCATTACAGAAACTCACCTGACATCTTGATCAAAAATTTACATTCAGGATTAAAGTATTTACAGAACTGATCACCCAGATAAAACCGCACATGGAGGAACAGCTATACTCGTCAAAAAATCACTGAAACATAATCCCGTAGACTTATCCATTTCACCAGACATACAATCGACAGGAACAACACTATACACTAAACACTACACTATAACATTTGCCTCAGTTTACTGCCTCCCTAGGTACAAGCGTACATCCAAGATGTCTTTTGAGATCTTCAAACGCCTCGGAAGATACTTCATCATTGGTGGCGACTATAATACCAAGTATCAAAACTGGGGCTCAAGGTTGTGTACTCCAAGAGGCAAAAATCTGTGGTCTGTCCTCCGTGAACTTTCATTAGACACTGTAATTTCGAATTCACCGACTTACTGTCCCCCCTCCAGACACATAACTCCCGAATTACTTGATTTCTTTGTTACAAAAGGACTAAGAACCGTATTTTCCGTCAATACAAGCTCTGATCTTTACTCTGATCACTCTTCAGTGCATATGGTTCTCTTCGACGTTCCTTCTGAAACACAAAAAAGACCTGGGCTCATAAAAGGCTGCATGGACTGAGACGTATATAGAGACCATTTGAACACCTATCTTCCTGTTCCAGGTTACAAATCAAGAGGAACTAGGAGAAGCTGTTGAAACATTCACAAAAATCATACAAGACTCAGCATGGTCCTCATCAACATCTAGGCCACAAGAAGCAGCAAACTTGCCCCATTATCCTATGTACATAAGGGACTTGGATCAGAGCAAAGAGAAGAGCTCGCAAAGTATAGAAGACTAATAGACTAACTTCAGACAGACAAATTTTTAACAGATTGAATAACAAACTTAAAGAAATATTAAAAAATTCAAAAGCACAAACAACGACAATTTTTAAAACAGTGGATTTTAAATTAGTGGGTCGAAAAAACTCATCCAGCCTCTTTTTAGCCTTCTCCAAGAACTTTCTCACGTTGCACAAGCGTTATCCTCCAGTTATGGCAACTAATAGGTTGACTGTGGGCATCATGTACGTTCTTCTCTGGAACGCAAAAGGTATAAATCAACACAGGACCGAACTTGACATGTACCTAAATGAAAAACGGACTGACATCGCTCTCATCACTGAAACACACTTGATTCCACATTCTAAATTTTACATTCCAGGCTACAAAATATACAAAACTGACCACTCAGATAATACGGCACATGCCGGTACGGCGATACTGATTAAGCAATCACTAAAACACAACATTTTACAATTACCCATTACACCTGACATAAAATCCACAGCAATTAATCTGTATACCCAGTACCATACCATTACCTTCGCTGCAGTGTACTGCCCTCCGAGATACATGCTAACACCTGCAATGTTTTTCAATTTCTTTCAACATTTCGGTCGGTGTTTTATTGCAGGTGGTGATTATAATGCCAAACGTTATACCTGGGAAACACGACTATGTACTCCTAGAGGAATGAATCAAAGTCTGCCATCGATCAGCTTTCATTAAACACGATCTTTCCTGATACACCTACTTATTGGCCAACTTCAAGACACACAAAACACCTTCAACTTCAAAACACTAGACCTGCTTGACTTTTTCATTACTAAAGGACTCAGAACTGTGCCGAATACTAATACTGCGAGCTCTGACCTTTGTTCTGATCATTCTCTTCTCAGTCTGGTACTATGAGATGAGCCTCGCACTGCATAAAAAAAACCATCACTTTCAGGTAGGATCATCGTTTGGGAAGCTTACAGTGACTGCTTAAATTCGACACTATCAATCCCAATGTGTCGAAAAAGCCGTTGAAAAGTTCACAATCAGCTTACAATAGGCTGTAAGGTCATCATCTGTACCAAGACTCAGCAGAAATACGTCTCTGCCAATCTATCCGCAATACATTAGTGCCCTGATCAGGGCTAAGAGAAGAGCGCGCAAAGTTTGGCAGACTGGTCGACTTCCATCTGACAAACGGACTTTCAATAGACTTAACAATGAACTTAAACGACAGATTCAGAATTTTAAAAGAACGACCTACGACAATTACCTAAAAATTCTTTCGACTGACGATGGAAACTTATGGAGACAAACCAAGTAGCTTGTAAAGCATCGTGAGGTGTCAGCACATCTCCGAAACGTAGATGGTTCCTGGGCTGTCAGATCTTGAAAAATCTGAGCTCTTTGCCAACCATATTTCTTCTGTTTTCACAAACATCTCTAACACTGATCACGAAAGACATGTACAAAACACTTTAGACATTCCTTTACATTACCTCCATCTTGCTTCACTCCCACTCAAGTTGCAGAACAAATATGACAGTTACCTAAAAAGAAAGGTCCCGGTCATGACCCAATAAATGCTCAAGTGATCCAGAAAATGCCAAGAAAAGCTCTAGTATACCTAATATCAATTTATAACGCAATACTCAGAACGATTAAATTCCCCTTACAATGGAAATAGTCATTAATAACAATGATTCACAAACCTAACAAGAACATCGACTTCTCTTCATCATACAGAACCATCAGCTTGCTCCCGTTATGCTCTAAAATCTTTGAAAAATTTCTCTACAAACGACTTCCTGACTACCGAAAACATAATACCTAAACATCAATTTGGATTCGGTTCACACCACTCAACCATTCATCAGCTACACCGAGTGACAGACTACATTGCGACAGCAGTAGTGCATAAATTATATACAACAGGAGTATTTCTGGATGTAACTCAAGCGTTCGATAGAGTCTGGCATCAGGGACTTCTGTTCAAACTTAAGACTATACTCCCTCCAACCAATCTTAGCAGTGCCTCAGGGGCCAGTACTCACTCCTCTGTTGTTTATCATTTATACATATGATATTCCAGATCCTGTCGATACTGTGACCGCGACTTACGCAGACGATACAAAATCTTACGAGACATCAAAATTCAACATACGCCTCATAGACTTTACAATATCACCTAAACAATTTATACGACTGGTGAAAACTCTGGAAAATTCGACTTAACCAAGACAAGTCACTACATATCACTTTTATTCTACGACTTAAAACTTGCCCTGCTATTTACCTTGACAATATTCAAATTATATCAGACAGACAAAGTTCAATATCTTGGACTGACCTTTGACAGAAGAAAGACATGGGGTCCACAAATAAAAAACAAAACAGAAACTCTAAACCTAAGATTACGACTATTGTACTCACTCCTTGCAAGACATTCGAAATTAAAACTTAGACAGAATACGTATACTTACCTACTTAAGCCCATTTGGACCTACGCTTCACAGATATACGGTACAGCAAAAAAGACTCACATACGTAAACTACAGACTTTTCAATCTAAACCTTTCAGGACTATCACCAAGGCTCCCTGGCTCATTACTTTACATAAAGACTTACAGATGCCAACAGTTAACGGCCACATACGAACATACTACAAAAGATTTCATAATAACTTACCCGGACATACCAACTCATTGATTCGAGGCATGTCCACAACTAACATGCCCGAAAGCACCCAAAGGAAGCTTAAAATAAGCTGGATGAGGGATTTACTCCACTAATTATAAATATTACATTCAAGATAGGAAGAACACCGCTGGGCACTCCTCTCTCTCACGCCTATTCCGAGACCTATTAATCGTCTACATCTTGACACAACACTCGCTGATTGTCGGAACTTCTGAACGGTGTGAGTTGAAGAATTAAGTAAAAAAAAAATTTAATGATTAACTTGAAGAATTTTCCTTTTTGTGGAATCAAAACAATTATGATCTTACAATTATTATGGCAACTTTTGACCTATCGGTAGTAAACAATAAAAATATGGTAACTCCATTTTAGTAAACTTTATAATGAAAAAATAAGATTTAAATAGCTAATAGTAGTACAATCCATAATAATTTATTTTTTAAATATACAGATATACTTTCAAATCTCTCTAAGCATATATAGCTCGGAAACTGGAGTATTGTGATTTACAAAATCAGATGGAGTTTTCATTGCCTACCGTCAATATAATTAATATGGTTTGTGTTATTGTAATGGTATTAATGAATTCTTAGCTGTTAAGATTAAGCTTTAGCTCCGTTAATGATACACTTCAAAATTTTTATAATATCCTAGCATTAATATTGACACTCAATATGTTTGTCATTGATATTCATACTCAAGAATAAACAAAATACAGTTTTTTTAAGCAGTAGCGAAATTAAGCAAAACATTTAAAATTGCTTAACTTAATAATATATTATAATAATAAATAAATAAAAGATAATTTGGTTAAAGATAAACAAATTTAATTTAAAAAAATATGTTACACAACTTTCTATCGGAAGATTTTCTTGTATAACGAAAAGCTGTAGGGTTAAAAACAGAAGTTTGACATAAACGTGAGGCGAAAATATTTTTTTTCGAATATAATCATTATATGTTTTTGAATATCTCGAAAACTATAACAAAAAAAAAAATAATATAAGAATATTTTATTAACGAAAAGTTGATCAGCTTTAACTTTATGTACAGCAATGTTTCTTTTACTACGCCCTGTTTTCATGATATATGAGAAAATCTGTAAAAAGTGACCTTAAGGGCACACTTCCTCACCCATGAAGTGGAATGGGCAGGAGAGGGAACTTTTAGTATGTTTACCTCCTATGTAATGGTTGTCCATCCTCGATGCATCCTACAACCACCACGTTGACTAGACTAATACCCTAATATTGTTCAACGAATAAATAGGAACAAGTAAATGCGAAATGAATTTTATTGTAACACGTTTATTTACATATTTTCACTTTAAAAAAAAAATAAAATATAAAGGAATATATCACTTTTTATACATTCATTTTACTTTATTCTCCTTGGGGGCTGTCCTTGTGGTTGCTGGGGTTGAGATGCGATGAAGTCCAGAGCTCTCTTGATGGCCTCTGGAACTGGCGGTGGAGTTGGTAGATGATCACCTTGAGCTTGGAAACCTCCAACATCATCGGCTACATAGGTGAGAGTGATGACGGTGCCATCGTCTGCGGTGTAGGAGTAAGATCCCTGCGCTACCACGACTTGTCCGTCCTTGGGATCTTGAGCGGGCTTTAGTGATCCAGTTTCCTGAGCCTTTATACCGTTTGCTGTTTCGTAGCTGCAACCAAAGCAGAAAGGGAAAACTATGTAAAATACCTGAATATCGAATCCTAAAGAAATAAATGTAATATAATATGCTTCATTGCAATGTATGTTTCGATACTTACTCAAGTTAAAAAAATAAATTAAATAAATACGCGTTTGAAATCAGTCAGCAGTGGTTACAATAGAGAATCTTCTCATCATTGAGAAGAAATTACCAGAATTAGCAGACGTAATATTATTTGAAGCTAACATATGATAATAATTTTTGGAAACACATCTTATATTCGATATTAAATATTAAACAAGAGCTCTAAATGATGCCCATTTCGGCCTATTTTTAGCTGTCAATATTCTGGTATAATCATTAATCGAATGTGGTTAGGGTTCTTGGTTTGAAAAAAGATAGAGAGTTCTTATAGCAAAGTAATTTTGTCAATTAAATTGACCTGTAAATGGTTTCATTTCTGATAACGAATGTTTGCTTTTCCTGATCATCCAAACTTGCTTTTCGTCGTAATTTGGAATTACGTGATGGTGTTTAGAATAGGTGGACTGCAGTAAATAGATCCTCGTTCATAAAATGACGTCTTCTAATTTCATGTTTATTGGCGGTAATTAAAATTAAACTAAACTAAATAATTATTTATAATTTTCACAATAATTATTTATAATTTTTACTCATGATAAAATATCCCGCAATTTGTTTTTGGTTCATCTTTCCCCAATAAAAATTGGAAGTCTGCACCTGTTGTTGGTACCTATGTTAAATTGTCTATATTAGGACAAATACCATATATAATGATAACTATTTAACAACATAGAGGTATAAACTACTTTAAATTTATTTGGTCAGCCCAACACCTTGGTCAGCCCAACACCAGCCCAACATTAAGAACAATAAATTTAAAAAATCTAATGAAATTGGTATCTAGCTTGCGGGAGTAAAGGTTTTTTATAAGGGTTTTTAATTGCTTGGAGAGCTAATCTTCATTAAATAAAATTTAATCCAGATTTAATAACAGCTGTGTGAAGTAACGGAATAAACTACTGTCAAAATTGCTTATTCTTTTTTCTTCGCATCGATCTTTCTGTAATTGTAACCAGTATGTAGATTTTCTCCTTGTGTTACTTGCGTTAACTGTGGTTCGTATCTATTTTGTGTTAAGACGTTTTGAGTGAGAGTGATTGAAACAATAATTCTATTTGGCGTCGGATCGAAATGGAATCGGTAGTTATCGGTAGTTGTTGGGGTCATAAATTTTTTTCTTTTGGTTCTAATCAAATATACGAACTTGTTTCTAGAAAATTCATAAATGATGTCTTTATTTATTATTTTTGAGCACAACACTTATGAATAATATTTCACTTGATGCTATAAGCATAAAGGTAATTTGCAAAAGGCACTTTCTTAACAGAATAATAATGCCTTTAGTATGGCTGATTCACTTCTAGACCAGCACATCTTAACTGCGATGCAGACTTATATATCTCACAATTGAAGGGGCAAACATTTACACTTATTCTTGCGTTCATAAGTGCAAATGTTATCGATTATCTATACCAGTTACAACAATTGAGGAGTATTAGGTTCAGTACTTGGCAAACGGTAATCCGGTTAGTACCAAGCTTGGCTGTTATGGATAAAGAATGTTACCAGCTTGGATGTACCTCAGTTAGCTATGTCCACTCAGACGGTCAATGATTAATTTAATATAATAAATAATAAGGATTAGTTCATTGCATTACAGCAAGCAGTTTTTGAATTATCTAAATAATATATTTTATATATTACAATGTATTAGCTGTTATGCCATTGTAAATTACATTTTGAGATTTATATTTGAAATGTTTGTACTTACCCCCACTGGTACGATCCGTCAGGATTGTGTTCGTCAAAGCTGGACACAATAGCGATGGGTTGATTTGGAGCCACCTGAGGCGCTGACAGTGCAACTCCGAAGAGGCAAGCGACGGCCAATAACTACCGAAAAAATACAGATTGAAATCAAAAGTTATGATAAAACATTTAGCTACATACAGTTTTAATATATTTTAAATGTATTTTTAAACTTTTTTCCCTGTCCAGTATGACGATATTGCAACTTAGCATATAAGCTTATCATGCCAGTCTTGTAGTTAGCCGGGTATGCGGAGTTTTACATTCTCTCTTTAGTGAAAGCGATTTTTGTCAACTTAAGTAAAGAAGAATTGTCTCAACGATAATCCTCCTTCTGGTGTGACATTGTGACTAAGTATACATCGACATATCGAATTCGGAAAACGCCAGAATTCAAATGGCTCTCCACGCCGCTATCCATTACACATTTTGTATAAAAAGGGAGAACCACATCACTCCTTACCAAAATATGTTAGTCTGATTAAGAACGAAGGACAGTACGAGACTGAATTTGATATACATTGCAAGAAAAGTTCTGGATTATAGAGATCCTGCAGACCTAAGCAATGGATTAGTAGAAGTACGCAGTGAAAGATTGCAGGGAGCATTCCAGCTGCTAGCTTGCAGAATTGAAATTTCGATGAATGCTTTCCACGCAGCAGCGGCGAAAGAGCTTAACCAGCTTCCGGTAGAGGTAAGACCGTCAAGGCTTGTCTTAAGCGATTTCTGACCGCGGACCCGTTGAGTGTGCCATGAAGATTCAATGTTCTTGCAATTACTCTCTCCTCCTTCTGCACTTTTAATGTCCTTTTTATTTATTTAATTTCGTTTTATCTTTTCCGGTTCTTGACGCATTAGCATCACCTATAATCTCTTTCATTTTTTTTTCCATTCAATGAATCAATTTCTCTCAGAGGTAAGATCGGCGTCCTTCTTTCGCAAGGCAATTTCTAAGGCAATTTCTGACCACGGACCGGTCGAGTGCATCATAACGATTCATAGTTCTCACAATTACTCTCCTTCCCGCCCTCTGCTCATTCAATTTTATTTGTATTTATTTATTTAATTTTGATTTAAAATTTCGGTTTTTATCACTGTGCCCTCACTGACAATATCTATGTTTTTATTCTGTATTTTTTTCTCTTTTTTTCTTCTTACAATCTTATTTTATTTACTAATTGTAAATATATTAACATCCATGTCATATTAATTTACTAACATTAAAAATAAATTTTAAAATATATTAGAATTAAAGAAAAGTGTATATTGTAATGTAAATTGTAGAATTCACAATATTATTATATTTTTGTCTGTAAGAAAGGAACTTATGCTCTAACAATAAATAAATCAATCTCTCTCTCTCTCTCTCTCTCTCTCTCTATATATATATATATATATATATATATATATATATATATATATCTCCTGCTTCATTGATATATTTATTTCCATACTTATCAGGTCATTAAAAACAACTATATTATTAATTTTGCTCTTTAACTGCACAGATGACTGATCATTATTTATCTTGCCCTTCCGAATTTCGGTCTTTTAAAATTATTTGTGTGCCTATCATAACTTTTTTATATTTTCTGACCGATAGATATCAAAAATAAATTTGTGATAAGCAATTTAATATTTAATCGTGTGCGTCGCCGTAACAGCTTATTTAAAAATTCGTATTTTTCATAATTAGGCCATTAGAACCGAACGTTTGTATAAAGTGATATCCTTTTTTTTTTTCTGTTCTTCCCTACCTCGCCTTTTAGGCTATACGGGATTTTCCCGGACCGAGGGATGGGAGCGGAGAATTTAAAATCCCCTACGGCACCGGGACGCGAACTCGTACTTTTTATAATCTTCTCAAATCTGTTATCCGGTTGCCAGGCAACTCGCGGTGCTGTGCACACGCTTTAGCACATTCGGCCACCCTGCCCCCTATAAAGTGATATCAATATAAATTTAGGAGCAGTTAAGGTACTAGTGTTGTTGGTGGTTCAACTCAATCAGAAAGCTGAAAATAAGTTTACATTTTTCCTTTTGGAACAATTTCCAGGTAACACTTAATATAACCTTTAATATTGGACATAACCTGCGAAATAATCACACATAATCTCACTTATCAAGAAATCGTAAGAATGACTTTAAATGTGGAAATTAACTTAATGATTTTTTTGAAAAAATAAAGAAGATAGAGTCGTTTCAAAACACTTTCAAAAACTTCAAAACCAAAATAGAAGGGGATATAGTGGAAAATAAAACAGATCTAAAATACTGATAAAATGATCAGCAAGATTATGAACTGAAAGTAGAAGAAAGAAAGCGTCTGAAATTTTTTTTTTTTGTGCTGGACAGGAACCCTCATTATTTAATATAACAATAGTTTTTTAGAAATATGCAAAAATATAGCCGTTGAAGCTAGAATGTAACACGTAAAACAAATATTTTTCTTGGCCGAAATAAAAGTTACTCGTTTTGCGTGATTAAATTAAGCTCAGTGACATTTTAAGGAATAAGAAAAAGCTAGCAGAACTTAGTAACATTAAAACAAAAGTGGTTCTAAGTAAAATTGTAAGAGAAACAAGAAATATCTAATGACACAGAATGATATGAACAGCAAATTGGAAGGAATTGAACAAAATTCCAGAGGAGATTCAATATTCCCTGTTGGATTAGTCACCCAGGTTGATAAGACTATTGCTCTCTTTTTGGGAAGGCTTATGTAACTATGAAATACAATAATGTATATGAATGTAAATAAATAACTTGTAGTAAAAATACTGAGTTTAGCTTGATTATATGTTTATATCATATGCATATTCTGTAATGAAGGCAATTATTATTACATGAGTAAAATCCATATTATTCAGCAACGAAATAAATTTAAGATATTTTATATCATTACATAATATTTGAAGGTTTTGAACATCCTATTTCGATGACAATGTTTTTTTTTTCTTGTGGTATATTACTAATTTATTTGATGATTATGAATAAATGATTTACTAACAGAAATATTTAAAATCTATATAACTTATAAAATCTTTCATAAATTAAAGAGCCTTGGATGTAATTGTTCTATGAGATTCAATGATAAGTCCATTTGCAGCCGAATAAGGCATGCTATGAGGAGCTCATGCTAATGAAGGTCGAGGGTCGAGGTGTCGTAACGATACATCGTAGAAAGCAGCAGAGATGCAGCTGCAATAAATCAATTAAGAGAACTTGATAAAAGTTTGGGTTGGGGAGGGATTTTAGGTTGAGTACTGACAGAAATTTGATTTTTTGTATTTAATTTGTTCTATATCTAATGCAGACTTGATCAAAGAACAATTAAATCGCAGCACAAGCACATAAGAATCTAATACATGCCCCAGAGAACCCCCATACCATCGCCTGATTGCACGAAGCGCATCTTACATAATAAGAAAAATTAGACATTATCATGAAAAATCTCGACATCTTCCATTTATTATTGATTAGTCATGGATACCAACTTAAGTTTCCTCGCTTCTGAAACAGAAACATCTTCGGTATGAAATTTCATCGTTAAATTATATGGAACCCAAATATTATGTGCCTAAGTTTGAATTAAACGTATTTTTTAAATTTGTAATAGGGTGTACAACAAATGCATTATTCGAATTTTAAAAAAAGTAAAATTTAAACATTTTAATTTAATGCATTCGAATAAAAGCTGTTAGATTTTTTTGATTCGCACACAACTGTCGAATCTATTTGTACCTATGCTGTACAATCTATTTACTCTTATTAAGAATCTCTGAAATACACGTTAGTATACTGACTATTAATGGAAATGGAACAATTACATGGAATACGGTAAACTAAAAGAACATGTTGATAGCTTTATACTAGATATTCAAAGACCCTAACTAAACAACACTTACAAAGGGCTGAAGAGAAATTTGATAACAGATCTCCTACAATAAAAATATATAAATCTCTAAAACATTTTATATCAGCTGATTTTTTTCTTTGTTAGTTTTAGAGACTTAGGGAATTAAGAGCAAGATGAAAAAATCAATAATGTGGTAAAATAATATTTGCCTACTAAGGTAATAGGTATTGACAATTATTAGACCCGGTGTTGAATATTTCTGAATGAGTATGAAACTTATCTCTTCAAAAATGACTATATTTCCATTAATAATTTATTTAACCATTATTACTGGTGAGTACCAAACATATGCAAAGAAAATCACGATTAATAACTTGATAATTCTGCTATTAAAGTAATTATAATTTATTACTGTTGATTAAAATAACACCCTTTTTTTAATTACAAGCACCTATGGTTGTGCATCGAAGTTAAAAAAATAAAAATATAATAATGTATATATATATATATATATATATATATATATATATATATATATATATATATATATATATATATATATATGTGTGTGTGTGTGTGTGTGTGTGTGTATCCCAGATTACTGCTGTCTACGTAAATAAAAAAAAAAGAACTCAAGTTTAAGATTTTCTAAGAATTTTCGTGGAATGCTTACTTACCTGTATCATGTTGTTGATGTGGGTAGCCAACTGTGAATTAGCAACCAATAGCTAGCTTATATATAGCTAGAAGGTGGGGAATTATCTAGCCAATGGGAAGGCTTCGCAGACTCCCTCAGTTGGGGCTGTACCATCAGATTGCAAAACTATCTTTAGAGGACGCCACTCACTGACCAGATATTTATAGACACAATTTGAATAATGCTGGACATCACATTAAATGTTATGAAATTAATGTAAGTTTTAAAAGAGTTTTGACTGAAGGGCTACAGCACATGCTTTGGGGAAAATTGAAAATGTTTCAAATCATTCGCAGAATTCGGAACACAACGACGTAGGTAGACAACAGGCCAACAGGATTGAATTATAGTTATCAAAATGAAACACAAATATTTAAAATTAAGGAGTGCCTCTTTAGTTGTCAAGAATCAATAAAAGATTGTCATAATCAAAACGATTTTTTAAAAAATTATTTAATAAAAGTAATATATTAAGTAATTATGAAGTACTGCTTCTATTCCTTAATATCTTTAAATCTGATCAAGACAGTGTCATTTTTCATAGAAAATTTTTTATTATGAGCAATGGTACTTAAAACGTTTCAAACGAGAGCTTGAAATAATCTACGCCAATTTTGAGTGAGGGTAGTCTTATCACAAATTCTCATTATAATCAACTAACTTTTCGATAAAAGACTTCTATTTGTGTACTTTTTTTCAGAGTGCCAAAAAGTATTGTTCTTATATATTTCAAATGATATTACCATCGTTATTATTTCATAAAGATTGTGTCTTTATAGTAATTGTTTAAATATAATTTTTAAATAAATAAGGTATTCAAGTTTCAATTGACTAATTCTGAGGGAATCGTAGCAGGGAATTAATTCATTTTATTGTTTTTTTTTGAAGCTATAAGCTTGGCTTGTATAGATAGCTATTTAGATTGTCTAAAAACCAAATTCAGTGGTTGAAGAATTTGAGAACACTTATATCAACATTAAGATTGTTTTATGTTTTAAAAATTGAAGGACTATCTAGCTCTTTTTTTATTCTGACTGAGCTGTCTGAACCAAGAAACTTTAGATCAATGGTGTGATCACTTATTTAATTAAGAATTAGTAAAAGGCATTGTGAAGAATTCTCTTTTTATTATTTTTTTTTGTTTAGGAAAGAGATGGTCCGGGGTGGGGTCATAAAGAGACTAAAATAGTGGAAAAATTATTTTAATTCAATCCAATGTTTCGACCCGACTTTGCAGGTCTTCACGGGGCTGCTTTCAGGAGTTCCAGTTCAAACTGAAAACAGTTTTTTTTTTGTATGTGTGTTCAAGGAATGAAGAAGTTGTTATGTTTAGGATCGAACATAGTTTCTGGAGATTTTATGAGAAAAAATAATTTATAGTTACCTATTGATCTAGATTAGCATGAGTTTCTGGGCCTCTGATGAAGGACGGTGGAGAGGGTTTAGGAATAGGAGCTAATGATACTGTGAATATTAATGGACTGCGGTCTGAGGAAAGTTCACCAAGGCGAGCAATGAAATAGTTGAGGTGACCTAGAACACTGTGGATGAAGAAATTTATGACCGCCACCCCAGACCATCTCTTTCCTAAAAGAAAGAAAGGATATCGGGATTACGCTTAGGATCAGTGGGCCTTTAGCTAGGTGAGTTCGGAGGATCGAGGTTAAAATATTGGGCATTGAGTGCAGACAACACTCAATTCCAACTCTCAAGAGTGTTCGACCTCGAGAATTCGTGGTTCTTGAACCCCATTGCTGATGCTTGGTGTTTAAGTCTGTACCCACGATGAAATGGTGTCCTAAAGAACTGAGGAGAGAACTAAATTGGATTTTAGAGATGGATTGGTTGGGAGGGCAATACGCTGATGCATGGGTTATAGGAAACGAGAAGGTTTTGATTATGATAACAGTGGATTGTAGAAAATCGTTCGTAGGTTCTAGGAGTAGGTGATGAGAGAGGGATTGGTGTACAACAACAATATGTTGAATACTGAGGTATTTGTAAATTTGTTTTTTTGGTCAGTAAGGGTATCTACGTTCTTGTCTAGTAATAAAGCTGTTAGTTCGTCAGCGTGGTTTCTAACACCATTCGCATTCCAAAAGAGAATGGATAAGGATTTGATGGAATTCATTTAAGGATTTTTTGAAGCAGGGTTGAGGTGAGATACTAGATACTACTAGAAGGAGAGATATCAATGGGGTGACAAGGGATTTGAATTCGGTGAGGAAAGATGCCAACAAACTGCTAAGCTCTGTGGCTTGTGATGGAGGAGGAATGTAAGAAATGTGGTGTTGATACGGTTGTTGAGGGTTTTGTACAATAGGAGCGATAGGGTGTTGAATTTGGGATTGGCGTTCCTGTTGCAGCAGGGCCTCACATTTATCTCTTATAAATAACTGTTATAAAAGTTTTTTTATATCTTTATCGGGACTCTAACCCCTTGTAACTGAGAAAAATAAACAAAAAATAACACCAGTTACCTAAGAAAAAGTAAATATGTCTAAGAGAAGAGGTGACGGTATTATATTGTGATTTAGTGCATGTGTAGAACTCCAACATAAATAATAGAAAATTAAAAAATAATTCACAAAAAATAAATACAAAAATGTCTCAATAATTAACCGACAAATAATTGAATATATTTGTTTAAATTTCGCTTAAATTGGTTAATTTACTGGGACATACAAGGAATGAAGTAATGTAGAGGAACTTAAAAAGATTAAAGGTATGATGGATAATATATATTATATGTACCAGACTAATTTATTTCAGATGTTTATTTTAATTAAAAATAATATATGTACATACTTGTTTATAAATTATTCACATTATAATTAAAAATTTGTTGAGTTCAAATTTACAATATATTTTTTTAACAGACAACCACTTTCTTTGTCAACATTAACATTTATATGGTCGTTATATATTCATATAAGAATGTCGTAACCTTTATTTTTTTTATTACAGAATAAAATTTTTGAGATATAATTTTTCCTCTTTCACTGATAAATTTTTTCTTACAGTTTCTACAATTTCTATTTATTAAGTGACAAATTTCGAGATTCTGAGTTAATGTTTGCGGAAAATTCGACAAATGTGATTTTATGAATGTCAAATAAAATACTATTGATGGGAGTCTACTATGAATTCATGATAATCAACATTTCACTTAAAAGACGGAAGGGATATTAAAAAAAAAAAAAAAAAATAAAAGGAGGATAGTAAGAAAAGATTGAGAATTCAAGTCTTAACAAGGAAAGTATATTTTTTATTGAATTACTTCAGGCGAGTTTTGTTTCACCAATAGTCTGTCTGCACTTGTGTTTACTTCGTCTTTTTGTAACATTAAATTTGAATCATTGCGTCGCAGAAACAATATAGTAAAATAAAAATTAAATATTTACACACACATATATATTTATAAATCATTTAATCTAACATAAAGTATACAAAAATGTGCAATTTAGTGCAACAAAAATCAAAATCGCCCAATTTATCCAAAAACGGCAAAACGTGCAATATAAAATTTACATATGTTATTCTACAAATCATGGATAGATATTCGATCCGAAGTTTTTAAACGCAAGCGAATAAAATGTGTAATAACATGGTAATCCAGTCTCCACTTATAAACCATATTGGGAAGGTAAACAAATTAGCTACAAATTGCCTCAGAGGGATAATTAATATACCTCTCAGTAAAACAATAAGAATTCTTAATCCGATCCATTTTTTGTAAAGTTTAGTTTAAATATTGACGAACTTAAAGCTTTAATAATGCTTAAGTTGCTAATTCATGGGTTCATTTGCAAAAGTCCCCTTGAGAAGTTCTATATCATATATTCTGCGCGATTAATTCAACAGTGTGTAATTTCTATATCAGAATTAGGTTGTTTACTGCATGAAGGAAAATTGTTTTTATTGTCTATTCCATATACAGTGTTCCATATACAAAAGCCTAGTACTAGAGTAGTACTTTACAAGTACAAACATGAAAAGAAATAATTTGAATAAAGTTTCTTTGTCAGTTAAACTAATTTATAGAAAGACAATTGCTTCATATTATTCCATAAATGTTTTAGCCATTAACACTGGATGAATATAAAAAATCTGGTGTGTTTACTCACACGACTTTCCTACCTATTTCAGAAAAGTTTTTATATCTTTACATATGTCCATCAAGAAAGAAAAACAAATTGAATTAGATTTATTTTTCTGAAAATTGATCAAAGAAAATATTTGAGTACGATTTATTCGATAAATTAAAGCAATGTAAACCGGCTTATGGTAGATCAGTGTAAACATTTCAATACCCTCTAATATTGCTGTTTCTGTTAAAAGTAGAAGAAATACTGAAGCTTGTGTGATGCGTGCGACAGATTTTCTTACTTTCAATTAGTTATCTTTTTTTATCTCATTCACCCCTTTCTGACACCAAGATATGAATCCATAATCTTGCATTGGAAATTGAATAGCTGTAACTTCTTTAATAATTATCCGAAATGAAAGATTTTTATTCAGATTTTTAGGGAATTTTATTACCTTGCTAAAATGTGTAAACTTTAGTCAGGCGTAAGTAGTCAAAACCCTACAAAATAAAAAACGTCTGCGGATCTAAAATCGGAAGTATTTTTTTTGGAGTAGTAGATAGAATTTGATAAAATTGATACCTATTTAATTTATGTTTACCAATCGCTAAATTCTCTCCAAATTTAAGCCAAATCGAACTTGCGGTTTTAGAGATACAGACGTATCAAGGAAAACACGTTTGAGCATATATAAGAGAAAGTAATGGACAGAATTCAATAAAATTGACCAAACATTATTTAATACATCCATGAAATGATTTTATATTTTACTTCTTCTTTCACAAAAGTACAATGAAATAGTTTTTTAAACAATGACATTGCCTTGATTAGGTGGATTTTAAATACTTTTTCAAACTTAAAAATATTTTAAAAACATTTAGATAGTAAATTTTATTTATTTTCCTTAAAAACATGTGATTTACGTTAAATATTATTAGTTTTTAAAACATTATAATTGATAATTTTTTTGCCACTCTCCGTTACCTTCTACAACTTTCTTCTAGTGCCCTTAATTGGTTCCAATCCTTCCTTACCAGTCACTC